AATAGTTTTCTAATTTTTATATCAGTATGATTCTCTATTCTCTCTTATTTAAATATCTTAATTTTGAAATTCCTGAAATTTCTTAAGAAATTTCTTAAGGAATGGAGAAGAAATAGTTTTCTTTTTTAATATATTTTTTGATGGGTGAATGTTGGAAGAAAAGAATTTTGAAAGTTTTTTGAGAGTGAGAAATTCATATTTATAAATTGATATTTGAGAAAAGAATAGTTTTCTAATTTTTATATCAGTATGATTCTTTAATCTCCATTTAAATATTTACTTTTTATCTTAATTTACTGAAGAAATTTTAATGGTTTGTTAATGATATGTATCTTTTTATCGAATTCAATACCAATTTTCTATTATGAATTTTGATTGGATAAAAATCAGAATTCTGAAAATTTCTTAAGGAATTTCTTAAGAAATGGAGAAAGAATAGTTTTCTTTTATATTTTTTGATGGGTGAGTATTGGAAGATTAGAAGAATTTTGAAAGTTTTTCTATTTTTTACTTCAATATAGTTTAATTTAAATTAATTTTCTAATCTCCATATTGGATCTGAGTGTATCTTAATTTATCGAAGAGTTTGTTAATGATATAACATTTTAGAAATTTTTTATTACAAATTCGATACCAACTTTCGAGTATGATTTTTGATTAATTACTGAGAAGATCTTTCGATGAACTTTAATTTTCTGTAATTTATCCCACGTCAAATTATTATTATTTAACTCACTGAATGTTTGATGATGAATATTCGAGAGGATGCTAATAGATTTTAATTGTCTGCAAGAAATTGTCTGCGTGGGAGGGAATTAAAGATACGATGAATTATAATTAGATATTAAAATATTTAGAAATATAATATACGCAAAAGCGCATAAATATTCAATATTATTTAATATCATCATACATAAATTTCTTATTATATTATATTATTATATTATATTATTATTATTTATCTTCTTATTTAATTATAATATATTACCAAATCGATTTTAATTTGCTCAAAAAAATTTTTGCAAAGATCTTGTTCGAATGTTACACATCGATTTGAAAGAACTTTTGCGTGGGAGGGTGTTAAAGATACGAGTTTCGTGGATTCCTTGATCTAAGATGGCTCATAACGTATCACAAGGATTTATTTTAGCTGTAGAAATTCTCTGAGGCGGAACAAATTGTAGATCGAAATGGGTCATAAGTTCTTATTTCGTTATTGAAGCGTCACAAATCGATCGATTTGAAGAAAAATTTAATAGTCGATAAAAAAAATTTGTTGGATTTTAGTAGATTTTGAAAAAATTTTTTTTTACACGAATCCAAATATTTGTTAAATTAGTTAAAACGAAACGAGAAAGATTGATCATACGATAAAAAAGAATTTTGGTAATCCAAGATTTTATTGGGTTTTTAGCTACAGTTATGATTGAGAATATTATATTGAAAATAATTGATGATTTCGATGATTTTTGAATGAATTTGAAAATAATAATTTATAAGGTGGTGTTTATTTAATTTAATATTCGAATATTGATTTTACTCGATTGGAAAATCTCGTTTTTTCCGAGACTTCTTTATTAATCCAGGATGAATCATAAGTTTTTATCGAGCTTCTCAATATATTATTCGTGTGCTTGGAATCGATTTCAATGGAAATAAAGCGGAATTTATTGGAAGTAAATTGGTTCGAAGGTTTTTTTCGAACGTTTTTCTGAATATTAACTTTAAATCAATTTTAATAGTCTTTCATAAAATTGATAAAAAAGAAATTATTAAATTAAATAATGAATTTTATATACATATATATATATATATAATTTAAATATAAAATAAATTTAACAAGGATTGAAGTCAAGAGAGGAAAAGATCGTAAAAGATTGTACACAATTGATGTCAAATATTTTCATTTTGAAAGGAACAAACTCGAAAAAATTGAAAATCACGATAAAAAAGAGAGCAATATAAGAAAGAAATATCAAAGATTTTCTTCACAGTTGGACCGTTATTACTTGCCTCTCTTCCCATTTGATAATATTACAAAACTGCTTGTAATAACTTAATAAAACGATATCAAATTTTTAACTTTGGAAATCCCACTTAAAGGGAGCTTCATAGTTGAAACTTTGTTTTATAAAACTGAATAATTTCCTTTTATCTATCTATACAAATTTTATATATCTGAATAACAATAAAAAAATAATTTCGAAAATTTTGTTCAAATTTAAAATGCCTGAATTTAACAAAAAGAGAAAAAAGAACGCAAAAATTTGCATTAAAAAAAAATCTGTCGCTCTTCTTCCATTTCTCTAAACAAAATTGCTATTCGTTAATCGCAACTTTAACTTTTAATTTTCTAAAAAAAAAAAAAAAAAGAAAAGAATAATAACAACGTTTCGTTTCATTGATCACTCACATATGGCACATGTGCCATTCCCAAAGGTGTTTTGGCACCGACGGCCGGAAGTCTGCGGTTCCTGCGTTCAAGATCCTCGCAGTGAATCGTAGAAGCCTCCTGGTCTCCAAGTGCCAATTTTCCGATTCCTTTTGAATTTTATACGCCTGCGAGGCGACGCAGTTCTCCTCCATGGCGCATTGTAACCAGTATAGCTGTCTGTCCTCGAGATGGGCCGTTCGCATAAGTTCTATGTGGTCGAACACCAGATCCGGCATGTCTCGAAGACACACTACGCTGCCCACGTTTTCTACAGGACCTAAATCGTGAGGATTTTTAGTTGGAATGAATTTTGAATTTTTTTTATACACTCGTTGCACTTGTCCTTTCCTTTTTTCGTTTTAATTATATGCATATACTGATATAAAATTTATGTAAATAGGAAAATAATTCTACATTCTCAATAAATCTTTGATTGAATATTTTTTTTTTCAAAATTTAAAAATTGGAATTATTTCGTTTTTTTATCGATTCAAAAAAGAATAAAATTGATGTATAAGAATTAATTATATTCTTGTAATTAAATATGTTTCACAATTTAGAATTGAAAAAAATTCCCTAACAAACAAAATTTATATTTCTGTAATTAAATATGGTTATATAATTTAGAATTGAAAAAAATTCCTAGCAAACAAAATTTATATTCCTGTAATTAAATATATTTTACAATTTAAAATTGAAAAAAAAATCCCTAGCAAACAAATTCTTCATTTTTATTATTTGGTGCAAAGCAAAAGCACAAAATTTATATATTTATATTTCTGTAATTAAATATTTCACGATTTAGAAATGAAAAAAAATTCCCTAGCAAACAAATTCTTCATTCCCATTATTTGATGCAAAATAAAAGGATAAAATTTATATATTTATATTCCTGTAATTAAATATATTTTACAATTTAAAATTGAAAAAAAACTCCCTAGCAAACAAATTCTTCATTCCCATTATTTGATGCAAAATAAAAGGATAAAATTTATATATTTATATTCCTGTAATTAAATATATTTTACAATTTAAAATTGAAAAAAAATTCNAATAAATTCTTCATTTTTATTATTTGGTGCAAAGCAAAAGGACAAAATTTATATATTTATATTTCTGTAATTAAATATACAATTTAAAATTGAAAAAAAAATTTCCTAGCAAATAAATTCTTCATTTTTATTATTTGGTGCAAAGCAAAAGGACAAAATTTATATATTTATATTCCCGTAATTAAATATATTTTACAATTTAAAATTGAAAAAAAATTCCCTAGCAAACAAATTCTTCATTTCCATTATTTGATGCAAAAT